TGTTTCTGTTGCGGGGCAGTGGGACATTTCGCGCGGGAATGTCCGGACAAAAAAACATCGAGTGACGAACAAAGGAAGGACAAACGAACATCGAAATCGTCAACCGACAATTGCGCGTTCATAGCAACAAGCGGGAGCGCTGATTTGAACGAGCCATCTGTCGAGAGGATCCGGAAGCTGCAAAGTGTCTGCCAGGACGACATCTGGTTTACCGACAGTGGTGCATCTCGTCACGTTACGTTCAGGCGAAACTGGTTCGCGGAATATCGATCGATAACTGGTGAATCGATACAACTTGGAGACAACGGCTTATGCGAAGTTCGCGGTGTCGGTACAGTGGTCATTGAGAGGCTGGTCGGTGATACATGGGAGACAGCGACGATTCGAAATGTTTTCTACGTTCCTGAACTGAAAAAGAATCTGTTTTCGGTTGGTGTTGTGACATCGTTGGGATACACCGTGATGTTTAAAGAACGACACGTCGCATTAATGAAAAATGGCTGTCTGTTCGCACAAGGAATAAAACAAGAAAATGATATCTACCGTATGTTCTTCCGAGCGAAACGCGCGCGAATTGAATCACAAGTCAACGTGTCAACAACGAGTCTCGAGCGGTGGCACGAGAGACTTGCGCACGTTAACGGGCGAGTGATACGCGAAATGGTAGACAGTGGTGCGGTTGACGGCGTGAGGTTGAGCAACGCCAAAGACTCCTTCTGTGACGCTTGTCAAGAAGGGAAATCACACAAGCTTCCCTTTAAAAAATCTAGTGACAGATCGGCGTATCGTGCGGGCGAATTTTTCCACTCAGACGTGTGTGGTCCCATGCCAGTCGAATCGGTAAATGGCGCAAGATTTTACGTGTTGTTCGTGGACGAAGCGTCTGGATATCGTACTGTGTTTTTCATGCGGCACAAGAGCGATGTGTTCGAGAAGTTTAAAGTGTTCGAAAAAATGGTTGCAAACAAGTTCGAGAAACCGATGAAAGTCCTGCATACTGACAACGGGACAGAGCAACATCAACATGAGGAGCTACATGGAATCCAAGGGTATTCAATTGGAAAATTCGGCGCCGTTCACACCAGAGCAGAATGGAAAGGCGGAGCGGGAGAATCGCACAATCATGGAAAGTGCCCGCTCGATGCTGCGGAACAAAAACTTGCCGAAGATGTTGTGGGCAGAGGCCGTAAACACGGCAGTCTACATTTTGTACTCCATCCAGCAAGAAGCCAAGGGTCACACCGTTCGAGCTATGGAACAACAAAAAACCTGACCTGTCACATGTGCGAGTTTTCGGATCGGTTGCATACGCACATGTGCCTACACTAATGAGAAAGAAACTGGATCCCAAGGCGAAGCGTATGATCCTGGTGGGGTATCAAGGCGACTCACCTAACTACAGACTTTTTGATGAAGAGAAAAGGTCTGTGACAGTAGTGCGACATGTGACATTCGATGAGGAAGATCGGGAACGAGAATCTGAGAGCGACGACAGCGACGAGGCGAGATGGATCCTCGACGAAGTCCCGAACCCGGAGCCGAACATACCAGAGGACGACGGAAACAACATGGCAGCAGGAAGGCAGTCACCGGCACCAAATGATATCGGCGAATCTGATAGCACTCAATATGCGTTGAGAGACCGAAGCGTCATTCGAAAGCCAACCAGGTACGCGGTCAACTTCACACAATACACACCTATGTCGTACGAAGAAGCGATAAGCGGATCAGACTCGGAGAATTGGTCGCGAGCAATTTCCGAAGAACTGGCGTCGCACGAGGCGAACAGAACCTGGTCAATTGTTCCCAAAGAAAGCGGTAAGAAACTGATCACGTCAAAGTGGGTCTTCAAAGTTCAACGTGACGAGTCTGGACGAATCAAAAGGTACAAGGCGAGACTGGTGGCCAGGGGATTTCAACAAAAGGAGGGACTGGATTACACCGAGACCTTCGCACCCGTCATCCGGTACGATTCGCTAAGAGTTTTCCTAGCGATGGTGGCTCAGAAGGATCTTGAGCTGGCACAGTTCGACATCAAGACGGCGTTCCTTCACGGCGAACTGAAAGAGGAGTTGTTCCTCGAGATACCAGACGGTCTGTGCATCAGTGAAGACAGAAGTGAAGTGATGTGTAAATTGCATAAGTCACTGTATGGTGTGAAGCAGGCGGCACGTTGTTGGAACGTAAAGTTCACAAAGTTCCTGCGAGACTACGATCTAATGCCAGGCGAGGCAGATAAATGTATATTCGCGGTCAACTTCAAGGATAATGTAGAGATATATTTAGCGTTGTTTGTAGACGACGGTTTGGTCGCGTCGAAGTCACGTACTGCTATCAATTCTATGCTCGAAGCATTGGCAAATTCTTTCGAAATAACTCGAGGTGATTCTTCCGCGTTCGTAGGCCTGCAAATCGTGAGGGATAGAGTTAGAAAAGTAATGCGAGTGCATCAAAGAGCGTACGCCAAAAGCATCATAGATAAGTTCGGCATGAGCGACGCCCACCCTGTCAGTGTACCGGTGGATCCTCACACTAGTTTAAGACCGATGACCGAAGAGAATGAAACGAAAATCGATGTTCCTTACAGAGAGGCAGTGGGGTCTCTCATGTTTTTGGTTGTCGTTTCGCGACCGGATCTGGCGTTCGCCGTGAACCTGGTTAGTCGCTATTCAAGTAAATTCGATGAGAATCACTGGGCCGCGGTAAAGCGAATCTTTAAGTATCTGGCGGGTACATTGGATTTTGGTTTAGAGTATCGAAGCGGCGGGAATGGATCAAAATTAGTCGGCTACTCCGATGCCGATTACGCGGGGATCTGGAAACGCGACGATCTACTACCGGTTACGTTTTCGAGTTTGCGGAAGGACCTGTAACTTGGTCATCGCAGCGTCAGAAATCCGTCACTTTAAGTACAACGGAGGCTGAATACGTGGCTGCAGCGGCAGCTGCGAAAGAAGCAACTTGGCTTCGAAAGCTCCTGAATGACATAGGATGTCCATGTGAGGGTGCAACTGTCCTTCGAGTCGATAACCAGTCAGCAATTCATCTAATGAAAAACCCCGTGTATCACAAACGCACGAAACACATTGACATTCGACACCATTACATTCGCGAGAAAATCGAAGAAGGGGAAATAACCGTTGATTATGTCCCTACCACGTTACAATGTGCCGACATTTGTACAAAAGCTTTGGCGAAAGATCGCTATCAAGATCTATGCTTGGCGTTAAAACTGGTACGTGTAAAAATAAAGCATTCAAGCGGCGGGAATGTTGTAGCTTGAGAGAGAGAGAGAGAGTGAGAGAGAGCTTGTCATGTTTCGGACGTGTGAGACGGCTGTGCGCGTGCGCATGCGTGGTTATGTATTCCTACGCCATGTGCGTAATGTGTGATGTATTCGGGCACGTGCCGAGTTAATTGTTTTTCGTTTGTTGATTGGATACGAGTGTGAGTCCGCATGCAGTTTAGTTGAAAATTATACGCAAATCATTCCAAGTAGACTTTTACTTTCGCCAGCCTTGTATTCCCATCCTTGTCGTAAAAAATGTATCTTTATCTTTAGATCACATGACAGAATTAACATTATATTTATTTTAATACGATCGAAGTTGTTCTATAGCAAGTCTGTATAGAGGAAAAAACCGTCATCGAGTTGTGTAAGCAAAACAGCTATATTCTTTGATAAATCACAATTAAAGTAGATATTAATTCAAGATTCTTTTATCAATCTTGTGTTTTTAATTATTTTCATTCATAAATTCAATAGTTTAGAAGGAGATACTGTTAATAAAACTCACAGGTACGATTTAGGCGACCGGTTTACTGAATCGTGCTTTTAACAGCATGTTATAAAAAAGCTTAGAACAAATTAATTTGCAATTAGTGAAAGATTTAACATGTAATATTTGATGCCTTGAACATCAAGCTACAATTTCCAATGTTTGTTTGCATTCTAAATAGTATCAATTAATGTGAAATATAACCAAAAATATCTTAAGTGGTACGTATTCGGCAACTCTCCCCTATATATGTATATATACAGATATATATATACAGATATATACAGATATTGAACATATTTTATATAAACATAAATAATGAATAAACTTTTAAACAAATTGTTCATTTTGTCCAGATTTTGACGACGCACTCTATATGTATATGTGTACATATATATGTATATACATGTATATATATGTATATATACATATATGTATATATATATATGTACACATATACATATAGGGTGCGTCGTCAAAATCTGGACAAAATGAACAATTTGTTTAAAAGTTTATTCATTATTTATATTTATATAAAATATGTTAAATGTATTGTGACGTTGCAGCCCGCTGCAGCGGAGCAGCGTCCCGGCGCCGTCACAAGGCGCGGGTTCGCGCTCTTTTGCCGGGCCGACAGCCGCGTCATTTTGAGCGAGACCGAGATCTCCGGGAGGCCCAAGAGTAGATCGCGAAAATTTTACTAATTAGTTGGAACCTCTTGCATGTACGATGCCTCACCGGACGCAAGGAGCATCGACGGCGAAGATTCGAGGCCACCGGCGCGGGAGATGACTTGGAGTGCAGGCGACCTGGCGTCGGAGCTAAGGGGGCACGCACCGGGCATGTGGCGATCAGGCGACGGAGCGCGCACGAACGGAGAGCGTGACCGCGTGCAAGGATTTGCGAAAGCTGCCAGGAGCGTGGCGGGGAAGGCGGGCGGCGGATCTGGAGCCCGCGAAGGGCGACACGGCCGGCGATTTTCCCAGGGCCCGGGGCCATCGCCGAGAGCTGCCGGAACAAGAGGATCCAATTGTCCCGGATCGATGGGCGAAGGACGCGCCCTTCCAAATGCCACGACGCCGCCACATCCAGGAAATAGAGCGGCCTCGCGAGGACGCGAGGCGCCCGTAGGAAAATTCGCCATCTATGCCCGTGCCACGGCGGGACCCTTGCGGCGCCGTGATTGGTCGCGACCGTCTGCGCCGCTGTGTTGCGCACCCCCGGGCTGGGGGTGCAGGCATCGATCGCGTATCGAACGCGATCTACGCCGCTTTTGCGTACGAGCGTTGCGAGCGAGCGGTCGAACGGACGCCCGAGAGAGAGCGAGCGAGACCGATAGAGAGGACGAGAAGCTGCCGGCCCGGAATCTACGCCGACGTCGAGGAGATCGTGCCGGTGAGGTGACCCTCTGTATCAAATCTCTGTAAAGCCACGGGCGGGTCGCGGATTCCATTCGCACTCTGCGAACGGCAACGCCATTTTTGTGTTCGAGCCTCGTCGCGTGCGCCCTTTTGATGACGCGGGTTTCGTAGTCTTTGGTTGCCGGCGTCCGTCCCCAAGTGCGAGGGTTCCCACAGGAATCTGCCGTGGGCTACCGGAAGTGTCGTGAGTTGCGTATCGAGCCGCCCGGAGATCGTCCCCGCGAATGTGTCGCAAAGCCCTCGTGCACGAATGCGCGAGTTTATTGTAAGTGCGTGTGTCCGCGAGTTCGCGAGTACCTAGCGTCTTCGCGTATTTCTGTTGTGCATGTGATTCCGCTGTACATTGACGCCAGTAATCATTGTTCGTTTTCGTTTCTGTACGTGTGCCTGTTTTGTGAGCCTGTTATTGAGACTACTCCGCG